AGCGCATATGCAAGCCATGAATTATCAACTGAAAGGAGTCAATTACCGGCTCTAAAAACGAGTGTCTGCGCCGGGAGCGCCCCGGGCCATCCGCCTATTTACGGAGCGATTTCCCCCGCCCGGCCTCGCGAGGGAGAGAGACTGGGGAGACGGAGCCCGAGACGGGGAGGGATAGGCCAGAGAGAGGGGGACTGGGGCAAAGAGCCAGAGACCCAGAGACCCAGGGAGTCAGGGAGTCAGGGAGTCAGGCAGAGAGACCGGGAGAGACAGCGAGACCGCGATGGAGCCAAGCGCACCAGGCGAGACACAGGCAGCTTGGGTGTCTCTTCCAGAGCAGCAGAGAGGGAGCCCTGTGTCCCCCGCCCCCCACCCCCTGTGTTGGTGTGAGGACCCTAACCTCCAGGGCCGAGGGAGCTCCTCTGCTGTCTCGGGCAGCGGAGTTGGGGGACAGACCTGGGGCTCAGGAAGTGAAAAGGTGGGGAGCATAGTTTTCAGAGAGGCCTGTCCTAGCAGGAAACTGGGAGCAGGCTGCGGGGTTGTCCAGTGTGGGGTGAGCTGAACAGCGTGGCGGTGAAAGGAGGAACGAGGGAGGGAGGAACCAAGGGAGGATAGAGCCCGAAGGGGGGGGGGGCGCCGGGAGCGTCTGTGTGTCTTGCTTTGAGAAAGAAGTGGTGACACCAACCCCGTGGGCTCCATCCGGTCTGCCCCCCAGGCTCTCACCCAAGCGGGTTCCTCCTCTGGAAATGCCTTTCCTGCCTCCTCCTGCTCCTTCTCTGCCTCGGGCCTCCCCAGCTGCCCTGCCTGCCTTGGCCTCAGCTACACACCCCGTTATTTCCCGTGGTCAGGGCCTGACTCCTCCGCTGGACAGTGTGTACCTCACGGGCAGGCCCTGGCAGCCCGTAAATATTTGCTGAATGTGTGGAGGGAGGACTGAGCCAGGCCAGAGGAGACCTTTGCTGGACTGAGGCTGTGACCCAGGTGCCCAGTCTGGAGGGAAAGGGGGTGTAAAGCGCTCTGTGCAGACCATGTGGGAGCTTCAAGTCATGAGGGAGGAGGACTTCAGCTCAGGAACAGGAAGCTTCACAGGGCCAGGTGTGCGACCAAGGCTGAGGCGAGGCCCCGTGCGAAGGGGGCACCTTGAGTTCTGGGGGTGGTTCCGGGTTCCAGTAACTGAGTCA